GACTTCCCTGGAGGCAGGGTTAGGCCGGAGTTAGGCTCAGCTCCCTTAAGACGTGTGGACTTCAGCTCCCAGAATTCCCCAGCCAGCTTGGATAAGTTTCCATCCGTTACTTCTTCTCCTGCCCTCAGGTGTTTTGGAGAGCAGGTGGATCCCCCTCTTCTCTGTGGCAGCCCCTCAAATATCGGAAGACAGCTGTCGTGTCACCACAAGCTCCAGGGTTGGGTTGGCTGAGGTTGATGGGTTTGGTCTTTAGCAGAAGGACCCTGGAGGTCTTCTAGTCAACCGGGAGACCTTCTACGGTTTCAGATAAATGGTTGCTTTCCAGGCATTCATTCCACCACCCCCCATCCACCCTTCCCCCAAATACGTGTGGAAATTTAAGTTTCAGGGATTTTCTGCATTCCACGACGTGCAATCAGCTCCCTGCAAATCCCCTTCTGGGCCATCCCTGAACCGAATGTTGCCGCCACCCTCCAGGCCTTTTTACACAAAGGAAACCATAACAATCGTGACGCTTCAAGGATATCTCCACTGTTGTGATTCAAGAAGGGAGTTTTCCAGGATGGGGAAGAGTTATCAGGATGAATCACCCCTGGAGCCCAAGGTATGAGTCAGAGAGGTCGGAAGCAGAGATGCCCGCCAGCTCCTGGGCCATCCCACCTCCTGGCAAGATATCCAGGCCTGCTCCGTCCCTCAGCCAAGCCAGCAGGTCATCAGGCTGCCCAATGCCTTCTAACCCTCCCCACCCCCAACAGAAGGAAGTTATGGAGATCTGACCTAGAATTAAGGAGAAATTTCCCCACAGTGAGAACAAATAACCAGGGGAACGGCTTGTTTCCAGACGTTGTGGGTGCTCCACCAGTGAAGGTCTTCAAGAAGAGATGGGGCAGCTATTTGTCCGGAATGGCACAGGGAAGGGGTGTCCAACCTTGGCAACTTTAAGACCTGTGGACTTCAACTCCCAGAATTCCCCAACTTTAAGACCTGTGGACTTCAACTCCCAGAATTCCCCAACTTTAGGACCTGTGGATTTTAACTCCCCAGAATTCCTCAACTTTAAGACCTGTGGATTTCAACTCCCAGAATTCCCCAGCCACAAGTCTTAAAGTTGCCAAGTTGGAACCCCCCTGACAACAGGTCTCCTGCTTGAGCCAGGGGGTTGGACTAGAAGACCTCCAAGGTCCCTCTAGGGAAGCCATCCTGTGGGCCAGGATGGACATTCCCTGCTCTACCAAGTTATCTGCTCTGCTCTCTCTGTTTATCTTGGGCCATCCGGCCAATCTCCCCACCTCTCCCCCACCTTCTCCTCCCTCGCCTTGGCCTGGAAGGCCCTCCTGGCTCCAGCCCAGGGCCTGGCGTGCCTCATCCTGCCCGCTTGGGCTGAGGCCCAGCCCACCAGGGTCCTAGCATTCTTCTCCTGGGGGGCCTGCGCAGACCCCCTTCAGGCGCTCTGCCCGGAATTTGGGATGATGCAAGTGGGGGTTCCTGTTGGGGCAGACGCGGCCGCTTCAAGCTAGCCAGATGGAAGGTTCTCCATCCTCCAGGTCATGGTTGTCCCCAAGGTGCTTTTCCAAAAAGCAGCTGGGCTTTCTTGTGTTTTTCCTTGAAAACATTTTGCGTCTCCTCCAAGAAGCTTCTTCAGAACTTGGATGACAAGCGGAATGTTTTCAAGGAAAAAACAAAACAAAACCCAAGAAAGTCCAGTTGTTATTTTTTTGGGAAAAAGCACTTTTGGGACTAGCAGGAAAATTGAAGAAAAAGAAGAAGAAGCCATACAGGTAGTCCTCAACTCACAACAGTTCGTTTAGTGACCGTTGGAACACTGACAAAAGCGACTTATGGCCATTTTTCACACTTAACGACCGTTGCAGCATCCCCAGGGTCACGTGGTCAAAATTCAGATTCTTGGCAACTGATTCATATTTATGACGGTCGCAGTGTCCCAGGGTCTTATGACCCTCTTTTGTGACCTTCCGACAGGCAAAGTCAACTGACTTTCAAGCCTAAAGCAGGACTAGAACTCACCGTCTCCTGGTGACTGGCCCAAAGCCACCCAACTGACTTTCACGCCTAAGGCAGGACTAGAACTCACAGCTTCTTGGTTTCTAGTCTGGTGCCTCAAATAAATACATAAATAAAGCCCTGAATTCAGTTTCTCAGATTCCCGCCTTCATAGTCAGGCAGTTTGATTGCTTGAAAGTTAATTTAAAGCAGGTTTCGCTGTTACACAAATATCTGACTCACTATTTCTTGATTGCAGATGAAGTGATACCCTCCCAGTTATTGGTGCCCACAATAGTGTGTATTGGTGTGTGTGTGTGTGTGTGTGTGTGTATGCGTGTGAGAGAGAGAGAGAGAGACAGCACAACATATCTCCGAGGGTTGAGTCATATTTTCTGCTTCCTTGAGCCAACAAACACACTGTTGTGAGAAAACATCGCAAACGTGCTGAGAAGCGATAGAGAAATCGGAGTCATCGATTCCATAACAAACCACAAACAAACACTCTGGGTTTTGGCCCAGAAATAGGAAACCGATCGAGGGCTTGTTTGTTTCTATACATCCCTCGCGTCGGGTTCCACTCGCGTCTCCTTTTTACGGGCAGCGTTATGCAAACTCAAGCAGGGATGATGAGATTTTGATTCTCTGGTTCCACACTTACGGGAACCCATCAGGGCCGATGAATCATCTCAGTCACCTGAGAAAAGGGAATCAAAAGAGATCTGCAGGCGTTTCAAAACTGAAAGTCCTTGCCAGTAACTTTCGGGAAAGGCTGGATTTGCCTCTGGGCACTGAAACCGACTCGGAGGAGCCCGGAGGGAGTTGAAGGTCCCCTCCCCCCCCCAATCTTCAAGTTCACTGGCATGGCTGGTTGGGGAATTCTGGGAGTTGAAGTCCCCCATCTTTAAATTCACTCGCGTGCTGTCTGGGGAGTTGACATCCACAGGTCTTAAAATGGCTGAGGTTGAGAAGGGCTGTTTTAAAGAGAAGTCCTTAAACCAGTGTTTCTCAACCTTGGCCACTTGAAGACGTCTGGACTTCAACTCCCAGAATTCCCCAGCCAGCCCTGCTGGCTGGGGAATTCTGGGAGTTGAAGTCCAGACGTCTTCAAGTGGCCAAGGTTGAGAAGCACTGCCTTAAACGATGATGGTTCCATACCCCACTTAGGACACCCTGCCCTGGCTTCCCCTGGTACTTGCAGCAGCCTCGGGCCCCAGCAATGGGGCTCCTGACTCAGGCCCCGGGGCGGGAGGGTCTCCTGTGGCTTTGCACCTCTGTGGCCTTCTGCCCCCGTGGTCCTTCCTCCCTGGCCCCTGCCCCAGAGCCCAGCAGCTTTGGAATTGGCCCCCAGGCAAGTGGCCCCAGTTCCCAGCCCCATTGATGCTTGCCAGAGCTGGCAGTCACTCAGTGTCTTGGGGGCCACCACAGCCCCAACCTGCCCCCCAAATGCTTCCTTCTCTGGAAACCGAAACTGGGCTAACTCATCAAGCAGCCACAGTCCAGCATTGTCAGTCTCTGCGGGGGTCCACAGTCTCTGTCCGTCCGTCCGTCCATCCATCCATCCCTCCATCCCTATCTATCTATCTATCTATCTATCTATCTATCTATCTATCTATCTATCTATCTATCTATCTATCTATCTATCTATCTATCTATCTATCTATCTATCTATCTATCTATCTATCTACCTACCATCACTATCGTGTCTGTCTGTCTGTCTGTCTGTCTGTCTATCTATCTATCCCAAGGGGGATGCAGATCCACAGGTGGCCTTCCGACCTAGTTCTGCCCAGATGTGGCCCTGGGTTCCAGGGGCCAGCATATCTAGAGGGGACCCGGTTTGGGAACTCTCAGGATGCTGGATAGCTTTGGATAGTTCACCTGGGAGGTGAACTGCTAGTCCAGCATTACAGGTGGTCCCCAATTTACAAACACGTTGAAAAAAGTGACTTATGACGGCTTTTCCCACTTAACAAACATTGCAGCGTCCCCTGGTCATGTGACCAACATTCAGACGCTTGGCAAATGATTCGTATTGATGACGGTCGCAGTGTCCCAAGGGGGTCACGTGATCCCCTTTGGGGACCTTCTGACGAGCAAAGTCAGTGGGGGAAGGCAGATTCACTTAACAACCGTGTGACTAACTGAACTGCAGCGATTCACTTAACAACGGTAGCAAGGCAGGTCGTAAAATGGGGCATAACTGACTTAAAAACGGTCTTGCTTGGCATACCTTGGGCTCATCTGTGGTTGTAAGTCGAGGACTAACACAAGCTGCTTGGTGGGAGGCTGAACCGACAGACCTCGGCAGCCTCGTCCTTCAGCAGCCCCCAAAGAGTCCGAGGCTGCCCAGCAGGCTGGCCTCCCCCTGGCCCTCAGGATGCATCCGGGGCAGGCACAAGCCTCCCCACTTCCTGGCGATTAGAGAGGTCATCTAGCCCACCCTCTGCCCGGGGGCTAGGGTTGCCAGATGTCCACTATTTGAGCGGACAGTCCACTTTTTTCACATTATGTTCACTATTTTTTTTTTCACAAAATAGTGGACATTTTTTTTATTCAAAAGCTTTATGATGAAATGGTACGTAATCTAAAGCTGTACAGTCTGCTTTTTTTACTACTTAACACCACCACCACCCCCGCCCCGCTTGTCCACTATTTTTGGGAAGCAGACCTGGCAACCCTACCCGGGGCGGGAATCCTCAGACCGTCCCAGGCGGCCCTTCCCCCCCAGCCCCTGGTCGGGCAAGGTAGCGAGCCAAAGCGTCCCGGAGAGCGACCGCCACCACGCAGCGGCAGGGCGAGGCAGCGCGGAGGACGGGGCCGCCCCACCCCCGCCCCTCGCCAGGGAGGAGGAGGAGGGAGGAGGAGGAGGAGGAGGAGGAGCAGAAGAGGGGCGGGGCCGGGAAGGGGCGGGGCCAGGGTAATATCTGGGGCCCCGGCCGCCGCGCCTCAGTCGTCCGGGGCTGCTTTCGGCGAGCGGAGCACGACTAGGCGGCACCATGAGCTCCATTCTGGACGTCCGGAACCTCTACCAGGTGAGAGGCCAGCCGCCTCCCGGGCCCCGTCGCCCCCGCGGCCGCCGGAGGAGAGCCCCGACGCTTCTGGCTCCGCTGTCGGGCAGCCGGGGCCAGCTCGCTCCCTGCCCGACGCCGCTTGCGCGGATCCTGGGCAGGGGATGGGCGCGGCTTGGCATCTCGACGCGGAGCTCCGTCGGCCGAGGAAGGAGGAGGAGCCCCCCCCTCGGGCAGCCCTCGCAGGCCGGCGCGCCTCTCCCGGCGACCCCGCCTTAAGCCTCCGTTTGAGACCCCCCCCCCTCGGGGCGTTCTCCAAAGAGCGGCGCTTCTTTCCGAGGGGGCGCGGGGAGCCGGTGGGGGCCAAGCCAGCCCCGTCGAAGCCCCGCTGGCTGAGCATCGCGGGCTTTGTAGTCCTCCGTGTTGTGGGCTGGGGAGGGGGTCCTGGCGCCCGAGAGGTGGGGAACAGGGCTGGGAAGGAGCGGCGGTCCCCGACCCCCGTCTTCGGGAAAGGGTGGGAGGGAAATTGCCGGCCTTTGACAGCGTGCGGATCGCCGGGGGGGAGCTTGAATTCCCCCCCCCCCGAAGCCCCTTGGGCCAAGGCCGAGGCGCTTCCTCCTCCCCCCCCCCCCCCAGTCGGGGAGGAGAAAAACAGGAAGCGCAGCGCTGGCTCCGCTCGGCTTTTTTTTCTAGGTCAAGAATTACGTCGCTGCCGCTGCTGCGGCTTCTCCCCGCCCCGGCTCGGGGCTTCGCGGGGAGATCGGACGCAGCCTGCGCGGGGCGGGCGGGGGGGGGGAACGCGGACCGACTTCGCAGCCTCTCCCGAGCGCCGAGCCCCCTTTTTCAGTCGTTGGGCCGAAAAAACGCAGCCCCCCCCCCCGAAGGACTTTCTCCAGTTTCCTGTGTGTCTGTGTGTGTGTGTGTGTAGTGGGGGAGCAAGGACCCCTCCCCAGTCTCGCATCTTTCGGGGCTTCGGGCGGGGGGGGGAGCAGAAAGGCTTTTTCTGCTGAAACCCTTTCGGGATCCAGGGATGCCGGTGATCTGGTATTCATTCCAGCGCCGGCAGATTTTATCAGAGACCCTCTTTCGATCTCCTGCTGGGGAAAAAACAGTGGGGGGTCCCACTGTTGATCCGATATGGGGCGAGAACTTGGGGGGCTGTCCATGAAGGGGGGGGTCGGTTAAAGCAGGCAGAACTGGCGGTGGGTCCCTGTGGGGCTTCCCGTGAGGGTAGCTTTTTTATTTATTTATTTATTAAATTTATATACCGCCCTATCTCCCTTGCGGGACTCAGGGCGGTGAACAGGCGATACTAAAAACCACGATAATAAATAAATAGTTTGTTTTAAAATCGAATTAAATAACAGGCCTGTTCTAAAAACGCACCCGCTTTTGCGCCCTGTTGTGAGTCTTCCCTCCTCCTCCTTGCAGTATCAAATCTGGGTGTTTTTGCCTTGTTTTTGTGGGGCTGCTTCTCCCTCGAGCCGAGCCGAGCCGCACCCCACCAACAGCGGCCTTGGGCCAAACGCAGCCGAGGCAGCTTTTCTAAACCCGCTTAAAAATAAATCCAGGCAACCTTCGGGCTTTAGAGGTCTTTCAGCCAGGCTTAAGATTTCTCCAGGAAGTTGGTAGCCTTAAAGATGTTGTCGGTTTCGATAGTCACTCGGATGGCCCGTGTATGTGTGTCTGTGTGTGTGTGTGTGTGTGTGTGTGTGTACATATTTTCCACCCTGTGCACATTTGTGTAAGGTGGGAAAGCACATAGCAAGTCGGTTTTGTTGTCAAACAGGATTTTTGAACGCCGAGTGTCTTTGATTGGAGAGGGGGCGAAGAGTTGGGCCTTCAGTTGAAAAGCGAATTTATCACGGTGGAAAAAGATTTTTTTTTTTTTTAGGCTGCATAAAGTGGAGGGGCACAGAATGTTTCTTGGGGGCCGGCTGGGGTCTTGTGAATTGATGTGCGAGGCTTCCCGACGCGTAGAAGGGTTTGCAGCCTATCCCTGACACGGTGCCTGTCGGAGGGGGAGGTTTTTATGCCCCCATGTCCCCCCCCTGCCCCGTCCTCTCTGGTTTAGAGTCACCGCCCAGCAGCTGTTCCCCTCCGCAGCTCTGCGCTGGCCACAAGTCTCTTTAAAAATAACCCCAGCCCAGCCCACCTGGACTATATTAAGGCCGCTGACGTCACACTCACACACAACGCTTGTCACCTACCGACACTGGCTCCGTTCTGAGCTTCCCTGTCAGCTGGCGCCGCCTTCTGGCCGGGGCTTTCCGGGGGGGGGCTCACCGGACAAGAACTGGTGGAAGTCCCAAGCCCGGCTGTCCCAAGGGAGGGGCCCCTGGCTTAGGACGGAGGCCGGTGGACCCCTGCTTTGGTGAGCTTCAGGGTCTTGAGGCTTAGAGGGGGGTTGGGGCGCTGCCCCCCCCAAGCAGGCGGCTTTCCTCCCGCAGCGGTTGAGATTCTGCGCTGCCAAGGGGGCCCAAGAGTGGCGCGCGCTGTTTGCCGGTTTCCCCCGGGGAGAGATCCCGAGCCTGTGGATGGGATCGGTCCGGATTTTTGCGCCATTCAAGGCTGGCCACAGTGGGGTCCTTTTGCAGGGTCTCTAACCTCTCCTCCTCTTCCTCCCCCCGCAGAACCTGCTCAACCTCTCGCTGAGCGAAGAGCCAGACGCACCCGCCTCCGCCTTCTCCTGCGGCCACTCAGCCCGCTCCTCCACCTCCTCTGACCCGGCACTGCCCGGCGGCGGGGATTCGGCGCTGTGGCCCATGCGCGGCCCCTGGAGCCCCCAGGGCGAGCAGCTGCGGCCCCCGTTGCGCCCGGATCGCTCGGTCAGCCTGATCGAGGGCAGGGCACTGTCGCTGCCGCCGCTGCCACCCCCGCCAGGCTTCCCCCCGCTCAAGCAGCCCGCCGGCGCCCCGCCCACCCCGTCGTCCCGCTACAAGACGGAGCTGTGCCGCACCTTCAGCGAGAGTGGCCGCTGCAAGTACGGCGCCAAGTGCCAGTTCGCCCACGGCGCGGCCGAGCTGCGCTCCGTCAGCCGCCACCCCAAGTACAAGACAGAGCTCTGCCACAAGTTCTACCTGCACGGCGAGTGTCCCTACGGCGCCCGCTGCCACTTCATCCACCTGCCCGAGGAGGCGCAGCTCTTCAGCAGCGGCGGGGCCGGCCCACAGCTCCTGCGCCAAAGTGTCAGCTTCTCCGGGGTGCCCAGTGCCCGCCGCGCCTCCCCGCTGCCCGGCCTGCCCGACCCGGCCTCCTTCGCCCGGGCGCCCTCGGCCTCGCCCCCGCCCGCCTGCACCGAGCTCCTGTCGCCCGCCTTCGAGCACCTGGCCGGGGACCCGCTCGGCCTGCTCTCGCCCTTCGGGGACTCGCTGGCCGGGACCCTCCTCGGGGGCGGGGGCGGCGGGGGCGGCTGCTGCTCCTGCCGCTGCGGGAAGTCGGCCGGCCTGGGCAGCTCGCTGCAGGGCACCCGGGACTACTTCTCGGCGGCCCCCGGGACACCCCCCTCGGCCCTGCCCAGGACCCCCTCCTCCAACTCGCTCTCGGACCCCGACTGCTACAGCAGCTCCAGCAGCCTCAGCGGCTCCGACTCGCCCGTCTTCGATCAGCACCCCGTCGGCGGGCCGGCGGGGACCCCTCACCGCCTGCCCATCTTCAACCGGCTTTCGGTCTCGGACTGAGGCCCGGATGGGACTGTTCCAAGCTCGCCGTCGACGGAGGGGGCTGCCCTCTGGACGGGATTCCCTTGGAGGGGGAGGACCCCAAAGCCCTCCCCCTCCCAGCCTGAACTGATGCCAGCCGCTTTTCAGGGCTTCGGCTGCTCTCGAAGTCCTCCTCTTGCCTGTTCTTTCGCAGGGGGGGGGAGGGTGCAGTGCTTTTCCTGCCTCCCACCTGCCGGCCTTCTTGCCCTCACCAGGCCTGGGCAAGGGGGTTCCAGATGATTGCAGTTTCCCTTCCACAGAGAGTGCCTTAAGCAGAATCTGCACCTGGGCACCAGACTGAGCAGTTAGGCAGAGGTGGGCCAGGTCCTCTCCCCCTCCCCAGGAGTGCCTTATGGCAGCGTGTGTCAGACAGTCAGATAGTCGGGTCTTTAAACTGTCTCAAAAATCCCCTTTCAGGGAGCCAGGAAACCAAGCTGGGGGGGGGGTCAATTTAATTTTCTCTCTGGTTTTGCACAAAACAGCTGGCTGGGCTGAGCTGAGAGGGACAGCGGGGTGGATCAGCCTCACCCCCTTGGGGCAGTTCCCTTCCCCCCCCCTCCCTTTAAGAAATTCAACTGTCAGGAGATTGTTCCCTTTTTAGGAATCGCCTTCTCCTCCCCCCCCAACCTGGAAAAACCCAGAGAAGTTCAAGCAGAGGATTTTTCTTCGCTCTTTATTCTATAACTGCGTCTCCAAGCTTAGTCACTTGAAGATGCTTGGACTTCAACTCCCAGCATTCCAAAGCTGGCTGGGGAGTTCTGGGAGTTGAAGTCCAACCAAGTGAGGGGCGATTGAGAAACGCTGTTCTAACACCTGAGCATTATGCCAAAGGTTAACTGCCCCAGGGAGAAACGGAAGTGTACTTGTATGTAGCAGCTTTATTTCTTTTTTAAAAAAAATTTCCTCCAGTGGTAAGGAGGAAATAAAAAATCTCACACCACGGAAACCAGATCAAGCTGGGGGAAAAAGACTTAAGACAAAGTCCTGGTGGCTGTTAAATGTATTTTGTTTTTCTTTAAAAAAACATGCTTTATACTGTGAATATTCTCTCCTTATCTAGTCCTCCAGCAAGAATAGGTTGAGAATTAAGGAGAGGTGCTGAGTTTTTGTTTTTTTTTAATTCCCCTTTATCGTGCCCTCTGGAGCTTTTGAAATAAAGGCAGGGCAGTCATGTTTTCCCCTTGGGGTGCTCTGAACCCCAAGAAATGTGCATCCCCTTGGTGCAAGAACAGGTGGTTTCTGCCTCTTCCCAAATCCCTCTGCCGGCTGTACAGGTGTGAAATTCTTCCCTATTGGAAAATTTGAATCTGATCGACATGCGTCTCCAGCCTGCCTCCATGTTCCAATGGGGTGAAATTCATATTAAACTGAATCTTGGATTGATCAAAAACAGCGTCAGGCCACAACTGTTCATCCCTGTTCCACAGGAAGCTGAGATCTGCACTAAACCGGACGTCCAATATTCCAAATTGACGAATTCCAGACTTTGTACTTTCTTCCTCGGCCACCCAAGGAAATTCTTATCCCACTCTCCAGTTCCGTGAAATTCAGTCTTTGGGAATTCTGCTCCTCCATCCCCACGTAGGGGAGGATTTGGAGCTGGCCAACCAGATGCCAAATGGAATGATACTGGCAGAAAGTTTATTTTTTTTTAGTGTCCACAAAGCCCAGTACCCACAGCACGGAAAACAGGTGTCCTCCTGTTGCTTTAACCTCAGTTAAATTAGACATTTTGCACTGATGGAGACCGGTTGGGGAGGAAGGAAGCCCTTTGTTTCTAAGCTTATGTCGATGCTGGTCACACTTGCGTGTCATTTTGTGGTGGGTGTTGTTGTTTTTAAAAATCCTCAAATGTTTACTTTGTAATAAGGCAATAACCGAAACCAAACTATTTATAGAGTCTATTTATTCATAAATTTTATATTGTATTTATCTTTTTTTGTAATATTCCAGAATAATATATATATATATATATAAAATATCTATATATTTTTGTGTGTGAATTACAAAGCAAATGAGATTCTGCTACGATTTTAAAATGGTTCCAAATGCTAGCTTTTTTTTTCTCTGCTGGAAAAAGAGACTTTGCTACTTCTTTTCTGAATCTCCAAAAGATAATGGTGCAACCAATACTCAGTTAATAATAAATCCGAGGATCAGAAAATCTTGTCTGCTCGTGTCTATGCTTGTTTAGAAAATCTTAAAAAATAATTTCCTGCTTCAATCAAACAGAATAGAATCTTCTAGTCCAGCCCCCTGCTCAAGCAGGAGACCTTATACCAATTCAGACAAATGGCTTTCCAGTCTTTTCTTAAAAGCCTCCAGTGATGGAGCACTCACAATTTCTGGTGGCAAACAGTTCCACTGGTTAATTGTTGTCACTGTCAGGAAATTTCTCCTTAATTCCAGGTCGCTTATCTCCTTGATTAGTTTCCAACCATTGTTTCTTGTCCTGCTTTCAAAGAAAACGACTCCCTCTTCTTTGGGGCAGCCCCTCAAATACTGGAATACTGCTATCATGTCTCCCCTATTTCTTATTTTCTTTAGACTAGTGACTAGTCACTAGCCAAACCGAAGTCCTGCAGCCACTCTTCCTATGTTTTTGTCTCCAGGCCTTTCATCATCTTAGTTGCTCTTCTCTGCACTTTTTCCAAAGTCCCAACATCTTTTTTGTAACGTGGTGACCAAACCTGGACGCAATATATTCCAGGTGTGGCCTTAACTAAGGTTTTATAAAGCAATACTAATACTTCAGAAAGAAACTTCAGTCAAAGAGAGCATGTGTCACATTCAGGTGGGATTTAAATCCTGAGCACATCGGATGCCTCAAGGGGGGGAAAAAAAGTGGAGGAAGGGAATAAAGCAAGGGACGCACCCTAAAAGGGAATGGAGAAATATGGAGGGCTGGGGAACTCCAGTCTTAGGTGAACCAGGAATTGAAAAAAGGACCAGATCTTTCTACATGGGTTTGGCTGCCAAGACTCTCGGCTTGCAGAGAACAGAGACACGTCACAACATCCCCCAGTAAAAATAAAACAGCTGCTGAGCTGCGAGCTGCAGTAATAAGCAGTTGGGTTTGGCGCCCGATGCCTCCTGCGTCAGCAGCTCTCAAGGCAAGCAGGGTGTGGCGCCAGCACATTCCTGCACCCGGTGTAGTGCCAGCTGACAGGGGCGCCTAAGGAGGAACACCCATATTAGGGTGCCTGGACTGGGAGAACCTGTTGGGTGGCTTTCCTGGCTGCTACGACTCGCTGCTGGGTGGGCCTCCAAGGTGGCACCTCCTGGGCAGAGCGCCTTGTGGCTTGCCAAGTAAACAAATCAGGAGTAACACCCTGGAAACAGCTGAGTTCCAGGGTGTTCCTTTTTCGCTTTTCAAGTCCTGCAGTACCCAGCGGGCAAAACCCGTCCAGACGAGGCCCGAAGCTGTCCTTGAGCATTATGGATGTTTGTCTACCTTTGGTTTTCTTTTATGCGCTCCATCGTTGGAGGTTTTCAAGAAACGACTAGACAGTCATTTGTCCCCAGGCTGACCAACGGCCTCCGTTCCTCCAGCAGAAGGAAGTTATGGAAAGCCAACCTAGAATTAAGCAGAAATTCCTGACAGTGAGAACAATTAACCAGGGGAACGGCTGGTTTCCAGGAATTGTGGGTGCTCCATCACTGAAGGTCTTTGAGAAGAGATGGGAAAGCTGTTTGTGTGGAACGGCACAGGGAAGGGGTGTCCAAACTTGGCAACTTTAAGATTTGTGGTCTTCAGGTCCCAGAACCTCTGGAGGCAAGCAGTTCCACTAATTAATTAGCTGAATGACAGTGTTGGAAGGGACCCTGGAGGTCTTCTAGTCCAAACCGCTGCTCAAGCAGGAGACCTGTACTATTTCAGGCAAATGACTGTCCAATCTCTTCTTTAAAATCTCCAGTGATGGAGCACCCACATGTTCTGGAGGGAAGTCGTTCCACTGATTTAATTGTTCTCCCTGTCAGGAAGTTTCTCCTTAGTTCCAGGTTGCTTCTCTCCTCGATGGGTTTCCATCGGTTGCTTCTGGTGCTTTGGAAAATAGGTTGATCCCACAATTAGTTTGGTTTGCAGCAAAGGAGAAGCCCCAAAGCAAGCAGATGGCACTTAACATTTCAACATGATGCTAGCTGGAGACACGGCTGGGATTTCAAGATGGGATTTCACAATTTATACAAATCAAGCTGAGCTTGGAACGTCACGTTGGCCAACGCCTCCTCCACCCTGCTCTGAGCTAATTTCCCAGCATGCTGAAGACAGACACCGTGTAGGAGGGATGATGGGAAATGAGAAGAGCTGGGTTGCCTCAATTTCCTCCTTGAAGAAGATCAAGGCGGCATCAGGGATGGGCCAGACCAGGAAGAGAAGGGAAGAGTTGGCACTGGCTGGGCTGGGCGTTCACCTGCAAATGGATGGAAGGATACTAATGGAGAGAGCCAGTAAGGCATCCCAGGCCTCACCTGGCTCAGGTAGGACTCCCAAATCCAGCCCTTCAGGTGTTCTTTTTTGGGGGGAGGTTAGAAGCAGCCTTGGGAGCTGGAGTCAACCTGTTCCCCAAAGCACCAGAAGGCAGGACAAGAAGCAACGGATGGAAACTCATCAAGGAGAGAAACAACCTGGAACTAAGGAGAAACTTCCTGACAGGGAAAACAATCAACCATTGGAACAGCTTGCCACCAGAAGTTATAAGTGCTTTATCACTGCAGGCTTTCAAGAAGAGACTGGACAGCCATTTGTCTGAATTGGTCGAGGGTCTCCTCCTTGGGCAGGGGGTTGGACTAGAAGACCTCCAAGGTTCCTTCCAACTCTGTGATTCTGTTAAGTCCACAAGTCTTAAAGTTGCCAAGGTTGGACACCCCTGTCCTAGAGTCTGTCCTGGAGTCCCCTCTGAAGGCGTCCTGCACCTTCAGAACCCTCCCCTCGGCCCCATCTCTGCAACGTCCTTTCAGAGGATAAGGTCTTGGGC